AAAGAGTGATGACCTTATATTACACTCGTGGCTACATAAGGAAAAGAATGTGTGTGTAAGAAGTGAAAGGGGTGTGTGTGTATTTAAATTAAAGCAGAGTTAACTGAAACTGGTCAAATTACAACTGGAATTGCATAGCGTTTGTCATGGTTAGTATGTTGTTAAGAGAGTTTGCTGTGAGTACTCCTATCCCCATGGTAGTAATTAGTACATTAAGAGCTGTCTGTAAAAAAACTACATTAAAGACTGCTGTAGGTATTTTCTTCTAAAATGTTATAGGTAACCCATGTGGTCAGCTGTGAAGTGATTTGTAATGCTTTGTGAATCACAGTATCTGAGATAAGTTAGTGAGACTGCAGACGAATTTATCATCAATTTAGACCCCAGCAGAGACCTGAATAAGGTTCCTGTAGCCCTGTAAGCTTTAAGAATAGAGAAGGGCTGATTCAGGGAAAGTGTAAAACTAATGCAAGTAGCCAGTCCATGATGTCTTGGGCCCCTGTGGCTTTAATCCACGATATTACAGCCTGTCAGACAGAATGATATGCTTGCATCAGAGCCCTTAGTAGAATTCTGAACAAATGTTTTAAAGAACCAAGCATTCTTTTCAGTGACTTCTTAAAATCACCTGAGTTTGCAGGATACCACATTGGCTGCTATATGGTCCAGTTTTCAAAAAAGAGCAAAGAACCACAGTGGAACTGCTTCTAAACTTTTCCATTGTCTCTTCCATTTCTCTTCTGCTTCATGTCTCACCCACCACTCCCCATATACACAGCACCAATGCTGACACCTCTTCATTTTAATTCTTATTGACTGTATGTTAGTTCCTGCAGTGCTCCTAAATTTTCTCATCTCTGTGCCTCCTAATAATCAGTACACTCTGCTTAGAACACTTTCTTTCCTGTTTTTTACTGCACTGTTCATCCTTCAGGTCTCAGCTTAAATGTCACTTCCTAAATTTAGGAGACCATCGTTGACTCCATAAGCTCTTACCAGTAACAATAGGCTAAGTTATGCTGCGATAATGAACAACGCTGAAAATCTCAGGGGCTTAACACAACAAAGTTTATTTCTTGCCCACATTACATGTCCGTCATGACTCAGAGGGGAAGCTCTGCCATAGTTTCTCAGAGACTCAAGCTAATAGGTAATAGAGACTCCATCTCACATGCGATTCCATGATAGCCAAGGCAGGATAAAGGATGTATGATGAATCAAGCAGTGGCTCTTAAAGCTCCTTTCAGAAAGTGATATACTCTGTACTCATATTTTACTACCCAAAGCAAACCCCATAATCATCCCTAACTTAAGAAGGGGTAAAGAAGTACAATCCTACCATGTGCCAGAGAGAGAACCAGGATGTGTAGGGTATCCCCAAGGACTACCACTGCTCCCGTGCTGTATACCAGCACATCATCTTGTATTTCCTCTAATATCGTGATGCCATGCTTTATTATAGTTACATGTGACCTTACTCATTACTCTTTCCATTGCCTTCATTAGTGCTTGACACATAATAGGAATTCAAAATATTTGTTGAATGAATGAATAGAACAACACTCCAAGATTCAGTCCTTAGCTCTTTATTCTTCTAGTTCTACCATTTCTCCTTGAAGATCACATGCCTCTCTCATGGTTTCAGCAGTCACTGCCCTGAGGGTGATGTCCATACCCTGATTTCAATCTTACGTCTCCAACTACTTACTTGGTATTTCTACTTGAATTTAATGCATAAACTTAAATTTATTCCTTCAGTAAATATTTATCTATTACTTTCTGATAAGGCATTATATGAAGTGATGTGGATACAGAGATAAATACAATAGTACTTGCCTTCACAGGGCTTAAAATCTAGTGTAATATAGGGAAGAATACAATGAATCCATTAATATATACACAATATACAAAATGCTATACCAAAGGAGAAGAGAAACAAGTGACTTACGGCAAGATAGAATTAGAACTTGTGTTGTTTCAACCATTGAATCCATTCAGCAAATATTATTACTAAATACTCTTCTATGCTGGGTACTGAGGATAACATGAATAAAGTTCTTTTTCCACCCAGTCCAGTGAGGAGACAGGTAGCTAAGGACGAAAGGGTAGGTGAGATTTTGGTACAATGTGGGAGGGTGACTGAGGGGTATGGGGGATGGTGCAAAGGAAAGCAACAGAGGCATTCTTTCATGCATGCATACAGCAAACATTTATTAGGCACCAGTGAGGCATCAGACCCGGAAAACATAATACTGAGGAAGACAATTCCTACCTTAGAATATACAAAAAAAAAAAAATTATATATATATATATATATATATATATATATATATATATATATATGCAGTATGCTGGGGAGGAACTTACCATCTAGATTGTCAACATGAGTTATTATTTTGCTTTTGTTGTTTTTGCATCTCTGAGGGCGACTTTTGAGCATAGAAAAGACCACGTGTAGCTAATTTGAGGTCTAAAAAATTAAAATTCAACATATTAAAATTATATAATTTAAAATCCAGTTTTTCAACACAAAAGAAAACTTAAACTTTAAAAAGGTCCACCCCTGGGGCTTCCCTGGTGACGCAGTGGTTAAGAATCTGCCTGCCAATGCAGGGGACACGGGTTCGATCCCTGGCTCAGGAAGATCCCACATGCCGGGGAGCAACTAAGCCTGTGCGCCACAACTACTGAGCCTGCGCTCTAGAGCCTGCGCGCCACAACTACTGAAGCCCACAAGCCTAGAGCCCGTGCTGTGCAACAAGAGAAGCCACGACAATAAGAAACCCGAGCAACACAATGAAGAGTAGCCCCCCGCTCCCTGCAACTAGAGAAAGCCCGCGTGTAGCAACGCAGACCCAATACAGCCAAAAATAAAAACAAATAATTAAAATAAATAAATACATAATAAATAAAAATAAATTAAGTCCACTTCTTTTCTTCTATTTGTAAGTCTAGTAAAAGGTAATTCAAAAAGAGACTTTTATAACTTAAATTTCTTTAAATATTTTAAACAGTATTTACACATTTAAAATATTTTATTTTCTCTTTGATGTACTTCAATTGTTTAACAAACAAAACATTCTAAATTTCAAAGTAAATCTATAAGTACATTTACTTAGTAATAAATTAAAGCTAATAATATAATTACGGTGAATCTCAGATTACCGTTACCATTTGGAGGGCTATTAAAGTTATATTTTACCTTCCAACATAAACGTTTATCAAAATTAATTATTCAACTGCATCTTTTAAATTGAACTAGCAAGGCTAATCTGTTAATCTAACATGGTAAGTTAATTGTTAAAAATAGTTTAAAGACCAACTATTCACAGATTGTCTTTAAACTTAATATGAAAAAGATTAATATTTTAGGTTTAATTTACTTTATTTCTATACCTAATTCTTAATCTTCTATAGTTAAAAGATACCCAGTAAGGAATATTGTGCTACTACAAACTTGGGAGAGGCGTGGTTACCATCTTGGTGCACTGAGGTTACTTATCAATCAGATTGGGCTGGGATACAGGAATTAATTCTTACAGATGACATCAGTGGGCTTCACTGAGCCCCAGTTATGGTCACTGGAATAGGAATGCCCAACATTTACATAAAGGCTGGTCTCAAGGCCTTGAGCACTTACATTAAGTTTATACATAAATTAATTCTTCTGTCTGGCTTGAAATTGCTACATCCTTGCCAGCATATAACAGCTTCCTTCACTGTTTGCTTAATTTGCATTTCTTTGGTTATCTTAAGATAATGTTCTGTTATCTTTTGTCTAGTTCTAACCATGCATCTATCTGATCCTTTATACCAGCTTTAATTCTTTTGTAAACACTTTGGTTGCTGTGGTCTGATTTGAGTTGACAGAATTCTCTGCTTTCTGTGTTATTCCTGTTTGACAGGCCACAATTCTTATAGATAATAAAATGATATTCAGTTCTACCCTGCACATCCCTGTGGCTCCATCTAGCTCTTGAGTCATAACACTGAAGTCATGCTTCTGACATAGATAGGAGAGACCATTATGATAAACTTGATGGATTTGTCAGTTGATTAATTCCAGCTGTTCCTCAGCACGCCCCAGTGTGACACATCCAGCTCTTAGAGCTGAAAGCAGCATTACCCTGCCCTTGCTCAGCCATGATCCAGCTGTGACATCTTGGGCAAGTCATTTAACTGCTTTGGGCCTCAGTTTCCTCCCTTTTAAATTGTAAGAACTCTTGGGCTTCCCTGGTGGGGCAGTGGTTAAGAATCCGCCTGCCAGTGCAGGGGACCCAGGTTCTATCCCTGATCCAGGAAGATCCCACATGCCGCAGAGCAACTAAGCCCGTGTGCCACAACTACTGAGACTGCACTGTAGAGCCCCCGAGCCACAGCTACTGAAGCCTGCGTGCCTAGAGCCCGTGCTCCCCAGCAACAAAAGTCATCACAATGAGAAGCCCACGCACCTCAACGAAGAGTAGCCCCTGCTCACCACAACTAGAGAAAGCCCACACACAGCAACAAAGACCCAACACAGCCAAAAATTAATAAATAAATAAATTAATTATTTTTTAATTGTAAGAACTCTTTTCAAGTTCTGAAGCTCTATTAAATTCTAGTTTTGTGTAGTCAGAAATATTGGGTGTTTTACTGTGTTTTGTTTGAGCATTGGTCAAGAATTAGCTAAATTTTATCTTTTTGGAAATTGTCATAATTATGGAGGGCAGTGAGATAATAAATGGTTTTGCTTTCTTCTAGGTCTTTGATGATGCATATAAATCCCAGCTCAGTTGTGTGGTTGTGGATGACATTGAGAGACTGCTTGGTGAGTCATAACTTTTGCCATCATACTATCCTTGCCGCATTACAGCTAATGTCTCACAAATTACAAGAGAAAATACAGGTGTTTATAATCTATAGGGCAATAGAAATACCTTTCTTTGTCTAATAAGGAAATATAACACTGTCTCTTATATCTGAAGTCAACAATGGTATTCATGTTAAATATGCCTTATGACCATAGCTGCATTATAAAGTACTTTCCTATAAGGGCCCATGTCTCATATTATTTTGTATCTTCCACAGAGTTCCCTGCCCATAATAAATGATTAGTAATTTTCGTTGATGGATATATTTGCTGTATACTATTTCTGAGCTGCCTGTAGCTCAGGGATTCCATTTGTGAACTTTGACAGAACTAAGGAAAGAAGGGTTTAGGGCTGGAGTGAAATCTACAGGTTAGCTATAACACTTGGGGCAGAAGTTGTAAGCTCTTTGTACATCAGTTTCTGCTCACATAAAAAAGAGACTGTATTCTCTTCCTTACTTATCCCACAGAGTAATTGTAAAGACAAAAATGAGATAATATTGTGAAAGTTAAAAACATTCTGAAAGTTAAAAGTGCTCTACAGTAATTTTTTAAAATACCTATTAAACATTTCCTGTGTTTAAGTGCACTCCTACAGAATACAAAGATGAATAAAACAGTCCCTGTACTCAGCTCATAAGATGTATTCTACAAATAAATGCCAGAACAGTGTTATTAGTCTTACATTTTATTTCATTGCAAAAAGTAGATAAATCTGGAATAAATTCATTGGAACAATGGCTCAGGATGCTATAATAAACTTGATTGAAATTGAACCTACCTGGTAACTTAATAAATATCTGAAAATATTGCCAACACCTGGTTAACTAACCCCTTCTTCATTAAGGGGTCCATAATGGTGTAGTAATGATTTCACGTTAACTGTTCTTACTACATTTTTCCCATGATTTTCAGACTTGTGTTACGTCCTCTATTACTTCTTTATTTTCCTGTTTCCTAAGGCAATGTTTATTACAAAGCAAAGCAGGTATATCTATGAGGTCTTCTTAAATCAATAGTTTTATCTAGTGACCTGGGTTTTGGGTCTGCTATTTTTGATACACTTCAGCTCAGTTTCTGGGATTATTTCTTTAAAAGCTTTTAGGCACATACTCATAGCTCTGTGTAAAGTCCTTTATCTAAACACAATTGAGATGTGTGGTCATAGCAACAGTACTATGTCAGGAATGTGTGCCCTCTGAGTATATTTTCACTTGTATGAATAGTTATTATCCGTACTTATTTGTTCATTTATTCAGTAAGCATTTGCTGAGCCCTTACCACTGTGCTAGAATTATTAGGGTTTCAGAAAAATAAGTAGTAAGATGCTGTCATTATGACATACATTGGCAAAAATTAATACAAAGTAGAATGTGCCATGTGTTCTGGATATTCAGAAAGGGGAGGATCACTTTTGACTTCAGAGGGCTGATGCCTGAAGGCAGCTCTAAACACAGGGCAAGGGTGCATGTGCAACATGCAGAGAAAGCAAAGGGGGTGGCATTAGTGTCGAATCTTGAAGGATGGGTAGAAGTTTTAACAGGTAGAAAGTGATTTGAGAAGTTCACTGTTCTTCACCATCTGTGGACCAATCTTAGTGGCTTTACCATCATTTCAGTTGTATTGAAGTACCTTACTTACATTATTATTACTTGCCATTTCCCCCTCTACCCATTTTCTAGTATCATGTTTTGTTGCCTGTGTACTCACTGTATTACCATGGTTTGCAGTAACTTCTTGGAAATGTTTAGTAAATACTCCTGGGGATTTGTTTTTCCTCTTTAAGAAAAAAAAAAAACTCTCTGAATATCAGTTAGAGATGTCTACATGAACTCAAAATGGATATTTAGACGCTTTTTAAAAAATTTACAGATAAGAGTTCTTATGTACTATTTTAAGCATTTAAGTTATTGTAGATATTTTGTCTTGTTATCGTTAGTTGCATGACTGTTATTTAGGACTGTGTTTACTCTTTTTTTTTGGAATTTTATTTTATCTTATTTTTATACAGCAGGTTCTTATTGATTATCAGTTTTATACATATTGGTGTATATATGTCAATCCCAATCTCCCAGTTCATCCCCCCACCCCAGGACTCTTTATGCAGAAAAATCAGAATGTTTGGAATATGTGCATATGTATATCGAATCCCTAAACATAGCAATGTTTCTCTTCCAGATTATGTCCCTATTGGCCCTCGATTTTCTAATCTGGTATTACAGGCTCTTCTTGTGTTACTGAAAAAGGCGCCTCCTCAGGTAAAAATAATATAAGGAACATTTTCACAGAGTTTCTCCAGTAAATTATGCAATGGTGCACTCTCTAAATAAGCAGATTATCATAAACATATAAAATTTTCTTGTTGAAGAGATTTTGAAAGGTTGTCTGGTCTGGCCTTCTGCCTTAAGGTAAATGATTTTCTTAATCAGAGAAATTTTCTGTTCTTTTTCTGAAGATCTCAAAATCCCAGTTTCAGTTAGTATTCTGTGTTGCTTTATAACTTCACCACCATATTACACATCCCTACTTCCCTCCGTTTCCCATGAGAGATATTAATACATGATAGTAATGTAGAAGGGATTAAACACATGTTCCCATTTGTTTTGTTTTTCATTTCATAAGTTTTCCTAAGAATTTGTATTTGGGGTAATTTACATCCTGTAGGGAGTTTTGTTTTGTTTTGTTTTTAGTTTTTACGGATGAGCTTGAGTTATTTTTCTTGTGTCATGTGGCACTTTTGAAGAGTGAGTTTATAGCCAGAACCTTGGTTCATGTGGTTGTAGTTTTTACTCATGTGGCTGTTGGAGACTGGTGATTTTGATAGGTTAACACATTTAAACTAACCTATGAGGGTTGGTTAAATATGTTAATTATGTAGAGGCTGCCAGAGCATGTTTGGCTATGACATAAGACATGAATTCTCTTGGTTGATTCTGCATGTTGTAACCTTGAAGAAATGCCAATCAAAGGCAGGTACAAAGGGGTGAAGCACTAACTTAAAAAAAATCTTAATGTCTGTATGGGAATCTCATATTTGAAGTTAGAGATATAAACTAAGCTGTATGGAAAATATTAAGTGTTAAGCTGGTGAATCTAATATTTAATTTAACAGTTAAAATTATATGTGTGTGTGTGTTAGACCTAAAGGTAAAGGACTTGTCTTGACTTTCTAGGGTTTTTTTTTTTTCCCCCTAAACTAGTGAAAAGAAACATACAACAGCCTTGAAAATTTACTACATATTTGCACGGTGAAAGGATTTTTTTAAATCATTTTTCTGTAAACTGTTATTCCCAGGAGTTGGAGTTTTAGCTTATATTGAAGCTGAAATTAGAGAAGTGAGAATTTTTTTCTTTTCTGATTCCTTCAAAAAATATGTATATAGTTATAAAGCAGAAACTAACACACCATTGTAAAGCAATTATATTCCAATAAAGATGTTAAAAAATTTTTTTAAATGTATATAGATATATCTAAAGTTTCTAGAATAAAAATAACCCCAATAAATAAATTTTTAAAATATATATATCACACACACAAAAAATCCTTTTTATGAAATCAGCATTTAAAAAATTATAAGATTAGGAGACTTTTCCCAGGTATTAAAATTTACTTCTTATAATATTCAGGTTTTTAGCTAAAAATAATTTATGCTAAATGGCTTGTAATAATTTACAAGCCACTTGAGAGAAGAAAGAATAATTTTTCAATGGTACTTTTTAAACTGCTTATCCCTTTACATTGTTAAATATTATACACATGGATTTAAACAGAGACATCCCCTGAGAATTATTTGTAATCCAAAATAGATACTAATAGAAATAAATAGAACATATTGACAAATGACTTGCAAAATCTTGAATAAAGACTTAGGAATAACTTTTTGTTTTATAAAAATAATTGTTAACACCCTTGAGGAAAGGAACATTATCTTATGCTTTTAAATCTTACAGCATCTAGCACTGAGGTTTATACAGATATGCTTCATGAATAACTTATTCAAATATATATATATACACACACACACACACACACATATATATAAACTTTTAAATATTTTTTGAGTGTCCCCTCATTTTGGTGTGATTATTTAGTATTGCTGTAGTTTATATTTGGCAAGATATGACTAAAGTGGAAACATTCAAAAATAAGTAAAGTTCAAATGGCCAATAAGCACACAAAAAGATACTCAACATCATTAGCCATCAGGGAAATGCAAGTCAAAGCCACAGTGAGATATCACTTTATATCAACTAGGATTACCATAATCAAAAAGTCAGATAATAACAAGTATTGATATGCATATGGAGAAATTAGAATCCTTATACACTGTTGGTGGGAATAGGTAAATTGTGCAGCCTTTGAAAAACAGTCTAGCACTCAAAAAGTTAAAGATAGTGTTACCATATGACCCAGCAATTCTATTTCTAGGTATATACCCCAAAGAAATGAAAATATATATCCACACAAAAGCTTGTACATGAATATTCATAGCAACATTATTTATAATAACACAAAAGTGGAAACAACCCAAATGTTCATCAAGTAAATTAAACTATGGTATATACATACAATGGAGTATTATTTGGCATTTAAAAGAAATGAAGTACGAATACATGCTATAACATGGATGAACCTTGAAAACATGCTAAACAAAAGAAGCCAGTCACAAACAACTACATATTGTATGATTCCATTTATATGAAATGTCCAGAACTGGCAAATCTATAGAGATAGAAAACAGATCAGTGGTTGCCTAGGACTGGAGGGGTGGATAGGGAGAATGAGAGGTGACTGATAATGGGTACGGGGTTTCTTTGGGGGATGATGAATACATTCTAAAATTGATTCCAGTGATGGTTGCACATATCCGTGCAATCTACTAAAAACCATTGAATTGTACACTTTAAGTCAGTGAACCGTGTGTTATATGAGTTACAGCTTAATAAAATGGTTACAATAGATAGATACATAGATAGATAGATACATAGATAGATAGTGTCAGAAGCTTAAATGAGGAAAGGAGGATTCCATGCAGAGCTAGAGGTAAGGAGTGAGCATACAACATACATGGCCCAGCTTTCTAAGAAATCTTAGAAACAGGAGTTGAGTCCTTAAAAAAGGGCTGTGGAATGAATTTCTCTAAGGATTGGAAAGGAAGGATATAGGAGCATGTAAGAAGTAGAAGATAGATCTAGTTGCCTTAGTGATTGGAAATGGTGGGGATTCTCTTTTAAGAGAATACCAGCCTGTCCTTAATCAGAATTTGGTGACTCTGACCTGGACTGCTAGATGACCTGCTGTATAAGTGAATCAGTGGCAGTAGAAGGTAACGTTTAAAATATTTCTAGTTGGCATATATTTAACAAAATAAAAATATGCTTTCTCTGTACCACCTTGCTTTTTTAAATTAGTTTGTATTCTCTCAGGACAATAAGGGAAAATTTTTCAGGCTGATCCAGTGTCAAGACTATTTGTCATTCTAAAGTAGAAGCACTCACTTTACCAAACCATTATCATGTAGGTTTTTCAGATGTTTTCTATTAAATATTAAATGTATATGAATCTGAATGTTGTAGAGATGCATAGACTGGTAAAAAGCTATTATTTTATCACTGTCAAGAAAACAGAAAAGTTGTAGGCATTTTTCTTTCAGAAGAGGAACTGTACATGCATACAATACAGTAATCATATCAGTCACAGAATCCTTAATTTTGCATTTGTTGTAATTCAGCTTTCACATAGAAAAATTGTATGTGCATGTGTGCACATGCTCAAATAAAAGAATCCCTTCAGGGGTACTATGTTGTTATGTATCAAGATATTCTTTTTTTCTACTTCTCCCCCTCCCCCATCTCCCCTCCCTCATTGTAAATTGGCTTATTAAAACTGGTTCACAAGCCTTCCTTTTTTCCCTTTGTGATTGCTTTGGTCTTGGATTTTCAGCGTAGGACTAAAAATTCAAGTCAGATTTCAGTTACTAGGATAATTTTCTTTGAATTTTAAATTTTTCCAAGTAAATGCATAGATTTTTAATGAACCCAGTATTCAGTGGATTTGCTTTAAATTTAGCTGGAGAGTTAATTTCATGATTGATTTATTAGCCCTTTGAAAGTATAAAAAGTGGTATCTGTAGTTCATGAAGACTGAAAAACATCATCACATTTTGTTTAGCATCTTTTTAAAACCAATTAAAAGCTTTTCTAAAATGGATTGAACAGGAGAAAATAAAACATGTTCCCTAAGTCTTTATTTCAATCAAGTTTCCCTGTGTTCTGCAGGAGAAGAGATCGAGGGGGGATAGAAAAATTGAAAAGGGCTGTCCCAGCAGGGAGCCACGCCGCAGAAAAGGGCTGCTCTGAGAACTCAGCAGCAGTAGCTAAGAAAGCTCCCAGCCTGCTTCATCTACATGCAGAGTCACACAAGGCATGGGGGTGCTCACCATCACCACAGAGGTTTCACATGTGCTTCCCTGCTGATTCTTGTGAAAAGCTAACAATTGGCTTGGAGGGTAAAAGACCACTGCAGTTCACCCTCCCTGAGCTGGACGTACAATTTGTCCAGTGTTAGGAAATGTCCGGCTTAGCAGTGAGAGGCTTGAAGACACCCCTCCTTCCAGTGAGATTCCTAAAGCCGTCTCTTTTGCTTGATGACACTGGGGCTCTTTTCAAGCTTTGCAGATTTATGGAAGTCGAAGGGAATGTGCCTTTCAGGATCAGGAGGATGAAAGCCTTAGTCTTCGTGTCAAGGAAGAGGCAGTAGTAATGCAGTAAGGCCAGGTAAATCTTCCTGCAGACTGCAGCACCAGTGACTTTATGATTTTCCTCATAGGTCTCTTCTGGCACCTTCTTTTTTTTTCTTTTTGGGAGACTGAAAAGGAGCTCCTCAGCTGTAAAATGACATGACTTCCAGTTTCCTCAACAAGTGTGAGAGTAGTTAAGCCCATTAACCTGACTGCTTTAATGTTTACCTGACACTTTTGCAAATCAGTTTGGAAGACCTCATCCATATGTACAAGAATAACCTTGTAACAATGGAAAACCACTCCTTTTTCACTTCAGTGCTTCCCAGCCTTTTTCATATCATGGCATGTAGAAAATGATAACATCTGATGATGTACTTGGGTAAGTGGATGAGGCCATTCACAGCTGGCCAGAGATGCAGCCACGCCAAGTGCCACCCAGCCTTCCCAAGGGCTGACGAGAATTGATATCTTAGAACACTTATAATTCATTCACAGCATGCCAGCTGGAAAACTCTTTGGAAACGGTAAACTTTTACAAAAGAAGATCACTCCAAATTAATAGCAATATTACTGAGGTAGAACTTGGACCTGACAGTTGTTAGAATTTTAGCTGAAAAATAAAGTTGTTGAAAATTACTTCCTTACTGCTCTGGCACTTAGGAATATTACCTGATAAGAAAGAAGTGGGGCTTAGAGCTGGGAAGGGTATAACTAACAATAAGACTGTTAGTAAATTCCTGATGGGAACTCAGGCAGACATATTTGTTTCTCCATGTGTTTAATTTAAGATCACCAGTCTCTCTACAAGATTGCTTTTTCTGTAATCCTTATATGACATCTCAGTGCAATCTTACTTCGGATATGTTATTAGGAGTCTTGGTGATATTAAGCAACTCTTCAGTCTTTGGGTTGCTTTAGCAAAATAAGCAAATAATGGAAGAGACTCCAAATCACACAGGCCTAAACATGAATATCTCTGTCTATCTGTTCAAAATTAACTCTGGCTAATGACTACAATATGACTCAAGAAGATATATAACCACTTTAAGAGAGAGGTTTAGTAATTTTGCCACAGACACATTAATTGTAATCACTGATGTGGTGGCTTCTGCCCTGGACTTCTTTATAAAAAATCTGTGTGATGATTGACTGCTTAGTAGCCCAGCTTTCTCATTTATTAAGTCAGTGACGTTAGATGGCTACTATAGTTTAAAAAATTCTCTAAAACTGTACTTTACTTACTAGGTTATCTCAGAAAGTTCTATGTAAATTGAATATATATATATATATATATATATATATATATATATATATATGGGAGAGAGAGAGAACAATTTCATCAAAAAACAGTGAAAGACCTTTTTTTTCCCTTAGATTCCATATATATGTGTTAGCATATGGTATTTGTTTTTCTCTTTCTGACTTACTTCACTCTGTATGACAGACTCTAGGTCCATCCACCTCACTACAAATAACTCAATTTTGTTTCTTTTTATGGCTGAGTAATATTCCATTGTATATATGTGCCACATCTTCTTTATCCATTCATCTGTTGATGGACACTTAAGGGTAAGACAGAAATAAAGACACAGACCTACTAGAGAATGGACTTGAGGATATGGGGAGGGGGAAGGGTAAGCTGTGACAAAGTGAAAGAGTGGCATGGACATATATACACAACCAAATGTAAAATAGATAGCTAGTGGGAAGCAGCCACATAGCACAGGGAGATCAGCTCAGTGGTTTGTGACCACCTAGAGGGGTGGGATAGGGAGGGTAGGAGGGAGGAAGACGCAAGAGGGAAGAGATATGGGAACATATGTATATGTATAACTGATTCACTTTGTTGTAAAGCAGAAACTAGCATACCATTGTAAAGCAATTACACTCCAATAAAGATGTTAAAAAAAAAAAGAAAAAACAGTGAAAGAAATTTGGTGAGTCCTTTCATAAAACATTGCTGCGTATATCTGCTAAATAAAACCATGTTTTCAAAATAGGGCTTTTTGTTTTGTTTTTCAGTAGAGCACATCTAAAATATGTATTAATTAATGCAAAAAATTATAAGATAAATATATACATACACACACCATTTTCAGGTAGCTCAAAATTAAATATCTAAATTTTAATTATAGAAAAATGCTAATGGTGCTGAGACAAAATATCCTCTTACTGCCTTAAATATATTACTGTGACTTGACATCAGCATTAGAAAAGTGTTGATTACACCATCATAATGTTCCATGGGGCCATGAATCAAGTTATGAGTATCCTCTCTGCACAACTTACTCATTGTATTGGACTTGGAGTCAGAAAACCTGAGTTTGAGTCTTAGCACAGCCATCTGGCATTTTAGTCTTGAACTAGTCCCTTAATACCTTTGTGTCTATTTCTTCATCTGTAAAATGAAGATAGTTCCTCCTTACCTACCACAGTGACGGCCAACTCACATAATGTAAGTTCTGTGTAAACCTATGGGCTGCACAGATATAAGGTATTAATGCCTTATTGTGAAAAGCATAAAGTTACTGAGAAGTAGGAGTATGCTGTTTCCACAGAGAATGTCATTTGTGAAGAATCAGTTTATAAAGTCCTATCCTTAAAAAAGGATGAATGTTTCTCTTGCGTGATTTGAATGTTCCCATTGCTTGGAGCCTAGGGGTTGACATCTAAGATTCTGTTTCTTCCTGTTTTCTTAATGTTTCAAAGTTCTTAGGGGTTTAGTATTTTATTAAGGCTGTTGTATAGAACTAGAAATGTATTTCCCAGCTGTTGTTGTTTTAAGAAAAGAGCTGCCTTTAGATAGTCCACAGAACCTCTTTAGCATGTAAGATAGGAAAACTAAAGAATGTAACTGTATATAGCAAATTTCCATGGAAAGTGAGTTCAGAGTTTCAAGTTGGAATGCCCAGGTTCAACTTCTCTCATTTGCAATACTGGGAAAAGAAGTAAAGGCACCCTGCTTCCCCATCGCCCATTCACTGAAATTTAGAAGCTTCCTAAGTCCTAAGACAAATACTCTGGTCTGGGGATTGGAGATCCCTATTATAAAAGGGAGAATGAAGTAGAAACAGGAATTTCAGAGTTCAACAGCGTGAGGAGTAGAGAGAGAGCCAGGGCTTCTGGCCATTGTGGGATCCCAAGTACACTACCCATTACACTTGTCCTTAGCCTCCAGGGACTGGCTCCCCTTCCTTTTTCCCTGTAGCTACCTGTTGCTTGTGACTAAAGTTCACCTCTTTTTCTAATCCAAGGTGGAACAGAATAGCATTTCACAGCTTCTCTTCTACCTACCTGTCCCCAAAACAAATACACAGATCTTTGAAGATCCGTAAGGGTTTATACTATATGGCATAACAACTATTGGGTGACAAGAACCAATAAGGGGAACCTTACAAAGGGTCCAAAACAATCTGTCAATATTCCTGATAGTTATTGGAATGTAGATGGAACAAGGCCTTGATCTTTTCACGTCACAGCTTGGTCTGTAACCACGTTTTCATCTTGAGGATCCTGCTCACCTCTCACATTGGGGAATGGCAAATGTCAAGAGTACTTTTCACAAGGAAAGCTCCAGACAATCTGCCTAGACCCTCCCTTCCCTTCTTTCTTTCTCTTTCTCTCTTCCTCCCCTTCCTTTCTTCCTCCCCTCCCTTCCTTCCTCCCCTTCCTTCCTTCCTTCCTTCCTTCCTTCCTTCCTCCCTTCCTCCCTCCCCTTCCTCCCTCCCTCCCTCCCCTTCCTTCCTTCCCTGCCTCCCCTCCCTCCCCTTCCTTCCTCCCTCCCTCCCTTCCTTCCTCTCTTCTTCTCTTCCCCTCTCTCTCTCCTTACAGACCTATTTAGGCTACATAGATGATGATATTTGTTGAATGGATATCTTGAAGATGGTGAGTCTACATGTAGAACTGGCATTGGCAGTGTAAATAAGAGCTCAGGAGTTAGACTTGAACTTGAATTCAGTCACTTAATTTCTGAGCCTCAGTTTTCTCATAGTAAAACAGGAACAGTAGTAATATTTAATATTTAGATTGTGAGAATTAAATAAGATAAATGTTGATTATAGTTCTTTGTAAACTGCAAATCACAACTCAATTGTTAGTTTATTATTCACTTTAAAGAAAATTCTGACTCTGTCTTTCCTCACACAAAAAATACGTAAAACCAACAAAGTAACCAACCCATATCAAAGGAGCTAGGCTCCAGGTGGCTGCTGCGGAAGAA